GGCTTCATTCCATTGAGATCAGAAAAGGTGCGTGGTATCATTTTGATTTTTTTGAATTTGCTTTGATTTTTTTGAGACCTGCTTTATGGCTTAGCATGTGGTCTATCCTAGAGAAACTTCCATGCACTGGTAAGAAGAATGTGTATTCTGTATCTGCAGGATGAAAATTTCTGTAGATATCTGTTAGGGCCATTTGATGTATAGTGTCAATTAGCTCTGCTGTTCCTTGCAGATTTTCTCTCTGGTTGACCTGTCCATTGCTGAAAGTGAGGTATTGAAGTCCCCCATTACTATTGTATTGGAGTCTATGTCTCCCTTTAGATCCATTAACATTTCTTTTAAATGGCCAGGTGCCCTGTAATTGGGTGCATATACATTTTCCCATTGAATTGATCCCTTAATCATTGCATAGTGCCCTTCTTTGTCTCTTTTGACAGTTTTTGTGTTAAAGTCTATTTTGTCTGATATTAGGATGGTTACATCAGTTCTTTTTTTTGTTTCTGTTAGCATGGGATATCTTTTTCCATCCTTTCACCTTCAGTCTGCATGCCTCTTTGTTGGTGAGATGTCTTTCTTGTAGGCAGCAAATAAATGGGTCTGCATTAGGAACTGTCAATACCATAAGAACAAGACTGAATAAATTAGCTTATGTTAGTTTGGGCTGGCGACCTTAGAACAATGTACAATACTACTTTGTACTACAAATTAGCAACTCACTGTTTTGGTACACAGTCCATTTGTTTTGTTTTGTTTTTTATAAGATTTACTTATTTGAAAGAGTTACATGAGAGATCTTCCATCTGCTAGTTCACTCCCTAGATGGTTGCATCAGCCAGGGCTGGGCCAGGCTGAAGCCAGGAGCTTCATCCAGGTCTCCCACACTGGTGGCAGGGCCCTAAATACGTGGGCCATCCTCTACTCCTTTTCCCAGGGCATTTGCAGGGAGCTGCATCAGAGTTGGAGCAGCTGGGACTCCATCCAGCACCCATATGGGATGCTGGCATTGCAGGCAGCAGCTCTACCCCATTTGCCACAACACTGGCTCCCACAGTACATTTTTAAGTTTAGAGTTAGCTTGATAAATTGTATTAACCATTAAGTTGTTCATACATTATAGTCCCATTCAGTTTCTCATGCCATTGTGGGAGAGGGAAATTTTCATTTGAGCATTGTCTGTGTGTCAGACATTTATCCCTAGCACCTCATGTGTATTACCTTATTTGTTTCTCAAAACAACCATAGTAGGTAAGTGTTTGTGACATTCTGGTTTTACAGATGAAGAAGCTAAGACTCAAAGGGGCAAAATAACTCATTCAGTGGTCACACACCTAGTAAGTTTTTGAGCCAAGATTTCAATTCAAGTCTCTTGGATCCAGTACTTCTAAACTCTTCTAGTGTGCTATGCTTTCAACCTGGGTATCAGGATACATCCTAAATACATTAAAGTGCTAGACTGACAAAGTGTTTATTTTTCATTTATGTAGATAAATAAACATAGGATGTTTTAAATAACTCATTGTATCCTTTATGTACTTGGCAGTATCAGGAAAGCAAGCCACAAATAATTAGCCTTTTAACATTGTTTTTAACCATATGAAACTAAGCACTCTTTGATCTAGTTTATGGTTTTAAAAGAGGAGGAGGATTTTGGGATTAGAACTGGGTGTAGTTGGCAAACAAAATACAGCAAACTGAGACTCATTAGATAGACCTTCTAGAGGCCAGCGCGGCAGCTCACTAGGCTAATCCTCCACCTACGGCGCCGGCACACCGGGTTCTAGTCCCGGTTGGGGTGCTGGATTCTGTCCCGGTTGCCCCTCTTCCAGTCCAGCTCTCTGCTGTGGCCCGGGAGGGCAGTGGAGGATGGCCCAAGTGCTTGGGCCCTGCACCCCATGGGAGACCAGGAGAAGCACCTGGCTCCTAGCTTCGGATCAGCGCAATGTGCTGGCCACAGTGCACCAACCGCAGCGGCCATTGGAGGGTGAACCAATGGAAAAGGAAGTCTCTGTCTCTCTTTCTCAGTGTCCACTCTGCCTGTCAAAAAAAAAAAAAGATAGACCTTCTAGAGAAGTCTTCCTCAGTTAAAGAGAAAGGGGAAAGGCTACATTCTGGCTTATAGTAAATTGACTTTAGTGAGCGCCTGTGGCCCATGGGCTGAAGACAGGACTTCCACACCAGTTGGAACACAAGTAACAGAAAGATCAATAAGTAGCTAGCAACTAGTGTTGATCTTAGGAAGCAAGTTGTTAATGATGGGCAAATATGGAAACAGAGGAAACTAGCCATGAGGACTGGGGGTTTAGGAAAAAAATCTCTCCTACAGGGAAGAAGCAATAGGCAGACAGGATGATAAACATAAAGGAACTGGCATAGAAGTAAAATTAGTAGTATTAATGATTATAATATTTATGTTCAGTGTTTTTTGAAAAAAGAAAATGATTTATTTATATGAAAGGCAGAGTAACAGAGAGGCAGCAAGATCTTCCATTCACTGGTTTGCTTCCTAAATGGCTACAATAACCAGGACTGGGCCAGACCAAAGCCAGGAGCTTCATCCAGGTTGCCCACATGGGTGCAGGCACCAAAGGACTTAAGCCATCTTCCACTGCTTTCCTGGGCCCATTAGCAGGGAGATGGATCAGAAGTGGAACAGCCGGTACTCGAACCAGTGCCAATATGGGATGTCAGTATCACAGGCAGTGACTTTGCCCACTGTACCACAGTGCTGGCCACCTATGCTCAGTGTTTTTATAATACAGTCTTAAAAGTTCTTTCATATATATGATAAAATTATATTCTATTCACGCGTGGTACTAAGAATCAAGAGTTAACTAAAAGTCCTTGTCATCTTGGAGGAATCACTATCTAGCAAAGAAGAAAAGTATGAAAACAAATGACAGTGTAGTCTGCTATACACACTAGCATAAGAATATCCAAAGTCTAGATGAAACACAGAAGGGCAAATAAGCTCTGTCTAGAAGTCAGGGACATGGAACGATATAAGAGATGAGTAGCTATTCCAGATTCAAATCAGAGAACTGAAACATGCCAGGTATAAAGAATAACACCTCAGATTGGCACTGTGGTGTAGCGGGTAAAGCTGCCACCTGCAGTACCAGCATCCCATATGGGCGCCAGTTCGAGTCCCAGCTGCTCTACTTCGATCCAGCTCTCTACTCTGGCCTGGGAAAGTAGTTTGAGATGAGCCAAGTCCTTGGGTCCCTGCACCCACATGGGAGACCAGGAAGAAGCTCCTGGCTTTGGATCAATGCAGCTCCGGCCATTGTAGCCAATTGGGGAGTGAACTAGCGGATGGAAGACTCACTCTCTCTCTGCCTCTTTGCTCTCTGTGTAACTCTTTCAAATAAATCTTTAAAAAATAAAAAAAAAATACCTACACCAGCCCAAAATGCAACATCAAGGAGTATTTTAGAAAGTGTATTAGGCCAGTGCCACTGCTCAATAGGCTAATCCTCTGCTTGCGGCGCCGGCACACCAGGTTCTAGTCCTGGTCGGGGCACTGGATTCTGTCCCGGTTGCTCCTCTTCCAGTCCAGCTCTCTGCTGTTGCCCGGGAGTGCAGTGGAGGATGGCCCAAGTGCTTGGGCCCTGCACCCACATGGGAGACCAGGAGGAGGCACCTGGCTCCTGGCTTCGGATCAGCGTGGTGCGCCGGCCACAGCGGCCATTGGAGGGTGAACCAATGGAAGGAAGACCTTTCTCTCTGTCTCTCTCACTGTCTAACTCTATCTGTCAAATAAATAAATAAATAAATAAAAATAATTTTAAAAATATCACCTGATATTTGTGAATTGTTGATAGCCAGATCGTGAATATTTTAGGTTTGGCAGCCTACATGGTCTCTCTCACAGCTATTCAACTCTGCCCTTGTAGTGCAAAAGCAGTGAATGAGCAAATGAGGGGATGTGACTGTGTTTGAATAAAATTTTATTTACTAAAAACAGCAGTCTAAATTAGGCCTGTGGGCCAAAGTTTGTCAACTCTTGGATGACCTTATGTGTACATCAGACAGAAGGAAAAAGCAGTAAATATATCTTAAAACCTTTAATAATTCCCTTTTACCAGCAGGATAAAATGTAAGTTCTCTAGCATAGCAGTATCTGTACTTGACATTGAGGTATATTCATCTAATAAAAGTGGGACTGTGTTTTAGAGTAGCAATGCTATCTACCTCAAGTACTGTTCTTCCCCCATATATAAATATGTGTGTTTATATGTATGTATTTAGTTAAGATCAAATTTACTTTTTTGTTTTCTTACCCTGCCATACTAAGATCAGCTTAAATCTTAACATTTTTACTTTTATTAGTAATAATAATAGTTTCCATATATAGAAGCTTATTTTGATGCCATTTTATAGATGAGAAAGCCAAGGCTCAGAAGTTGAATAAGCTTTCCCCAAATCACATAGCTGTCTAAGTGGCCAAACCAGCATTTGCACTGAGGCCATATGTTCAGAGTTCATGAGCTTAAACATTGTGCTACATTCCTTAAAGCCCTCAGCAGAGGGAATTTGTATCAGAAAAGCAACTAGTTGGGTAAATAATGAAGAATTGTCTTGTGTTGTCCAATGACTTGTTAAAAATATTATGTGCTAAATTAGGCTGTTTGAATGTTATAAATAGGCTCTATGGGAAATTATACAAAGAGTATTAAGGAAAATTATATTTCTCTTGATATATAGAAGAAATATGCTTAAATTTTCAGCACTCATCCTTGAAGAATGGGCCTGAATGCATGTGTAGAATTAGAGAGAGAAGTATCCTAGGATTCTACACTTGATCTGAGCCAAAAGGCCGAGAAGTAATGTCCTAGGAATCTGAAAACTGATTTTTACAAGGTTATATATGCTGGTATAGTGCTGCAATCCAGTTAACGAAATGTTTAAGTGTACCACTAATTTTTTTAGATGGTTCTAGAAATGCACATAGGTTTAAGGTTGATGTTTCAAAACTAGTTTGTCCTTTTTACCCTGGCCAGGCGGAAACACTTTTCCAGCAAATCTACCCCAATGAAGACTTCTGTCCACCCCCGCCAAATCCTGAAGACATCATACTTGATGGAGACAGTTCACAACCAGGGGCTTCAGAGTCCATTGCCATACCAGAGGCCAACTCAGAGACTCCGGAGGAAAGTGCAAACCTGGAAAACCCACAGGCACCCTCTGAATAACACATACACACAAAACTAGACACCTTGCTTTTGAAATCCTCTTGGCCTCAGTTTTCTTGATGGAGCAACTGTTTTGAGAAGTATTAGAAAGCAGCGACCAATTGACACATAGAATTACAAGGAGAAACAGGTCATAGAAATCCTAAAGGGGATTTTTTGTCTTGAAGAGGACATTCCAAGAATACAGAATATTTCTAAAGCACATTAATTTGCATATGTTAAACCTGTGATATAAGCAGATGAAATTAGAAATGGAGTGATTCCCAGGAATACAGCAGTCCTATGCATTGTCAGTAATTCTGTGCTGTTAGCACATTAGTTTGTCACTTTGTACCTTGGTTTGAAAGCCACAGCTTCAGAATCAGCTAACACATTTCCTTTGTGGATATGAGCATCATGACATAAATGATGAAAGCGTACATATTCAAGTATCATGATCCAGGCAGCAGCCTAGCCTGTGTTTGGAATAGATTTGTTTTCTCTGTTGAGATGTATTGAAGATATTAGGATGTTTGGATATTTTTATAAATCATAAGTCCATTACTTGGTAGTATTTTTAATATTAGTTGTGATATTTGTATGTGAATCATCTACACACTGGGTAAACTCAATAATAAAGAAATGAAAGAATGGAAGGAGAGGTTAGGATAGGCTCATTGGTATTTGGAGATTCTGTCCAGACAACTACCTGGAATACTAGTCTAATTGTCTAGAGACCTAATTTAGTCCTGGCTCTGCTGCTTATGATATTAAGCAAATTGTTTAATTTCTGGGCTCCAGTTTCTCCATATGTAAAAATAGAAATAGTAATACCCTGCCTACTGTATGACAATGACTATAATGATAAACATAGTACCATCCTTAGGATGCTTTTACTGAAAGAAAGTTGTTTCTGCGTTTTTTTTGTTGTTGTTGTTGGCTTGGGGATGAATGTCAGAAATCTCATGTAGCAAAAAATTGCTGTCAACTCCCCAAGAAGATAAATTAGTGTTTTTATTGCATTCAATTTCTTAAATGAAAATGTTTCATAAATTAGTGTTTTAATGTCTTTTAGACCAGTAAACATGGTAATACATGGAATTATAGTTTTGAAATCCTATAAGGGAAACACTATAAATTCTTCATATTCCTTTTCTGATAGGTCAACCTTAAACCACCAAGGACTCTGAATAGAGTAGGACAGTTGATAAACCCTACTATACACCCCACATAAAAATGTTAGAGCTGTACAATCAGCAACTGTACTTACAATGATAGTGCCTATATTTAAATTTTCCCAAATGCCAAGCTCTGATGGTCTACTTTTTTTGAGCAATAGTTTGGATTTGCAACTGCCTGTAAGTAAATAAGCAAAGGTTCTTGTTGCAAGCTCTGGCCTGGATTATCTGTCAAGGGGCCATGACTCTAGTGGAAAGCACATAGTTCTTACACCTCAGCTCAACCAGTCCCTGACCTAACCAGGTTCCAGAGAAGGTCTTGAAGCTAGCTGTGCCGGGTCCTAGATTCATAGAAATGGAAGAACCAAGGAATGTAGCTCTTGCCTCACCTTCCAACCCCTGCAGATAATGGCTGAATCTAGAAGGAAAAACTTCCTAGCCTCTTGGGCTGCTCCTATCCCCGCCTCCCAGTGTACAGCCCCTCTCCTCTCTCTTTAGCCCCCTCTTTCCCTCTTTTCCCCTTTTATATTGTCACACAAATCAGGGACAGTAGAATCACATTATAACCTACTTTGCTATAGTTATGCAGATCAAAAGTCAAATCATCTTTCCTGAAACCTAGCTAAGGCATGCACCAACTGCCTAGTACTTACCTGTAAGTATATCAGGCATTGGTCCTGCCCCTTGATACCAGCAATATAAAAGGTTCCATTAGAAGAGACTATTGAATCTGAATACAGTTGCAGTAAGTGGCACCAATAAAGATATTATACTTTATTATAGTCTCAGAGTTTAGGGCTCCTGGATGCAGCATACACATTTATGTAAATAGACAATCAGGGTAGGCCTAGCTTAACTAGAAAAATTCTGGTAGCCTTACTGCAGCTGTCTATATGCAGAACAATGAGGGAGATATTTTGTGATCTCATGGGCCAGCCCACATTGTACCCATCTCATACATCAGCCAGCATCAGAATCTCTCCTCTAGGTCATTAAATACTGTTGAAATGTTTCAAAGCTCCTGAATATAATGATTAAATTATTGATGAATTAAGATATACAACTGCTTAGAGAAGTTTAAATATTTCCTGTTGCCTCAGAATGTAATAGAAATTAAGAGCTTTCTTTTCAGCTATCTTAATTACTGCAAATGTTTGTTTTCAGTTTTAAGTAAAAAAAAATTGCTTTTACTATAAAACTTTAAGCCTGAAATCATATGAATAAAAATAATGGTGTATATAATGCAAACTTTTCTGTATCTAACTTAAAATTTTAAAAACTGCTATTATTAAAACATTTTGATGTATGTGTTGAAAATGTTTAGTTATGCATGTTTATTAACCAAAAATGATAATAACCATTCAGTATAGTGATTGATAACACAATCAGTAAATAATCTTGTCTATGGTATTTTTTTTCTAGTTGATGTGCCTGCCCAGAAAACCATATATATAATAATTTATATTTTTCTATAGGAAAATAGAATTAGTTTTCCTCATCTCCTATGATATTTAGCTGTCCATAGTGTGATGGCTATGTTATGTTAAAGAGTAACTTCTAGAATGGTGGTAATTTCTGAGATTAGCAACCCTTTGTCTGATAATGGCCATGTTAATGATTAACTTCTGTCACCACTGTAGATTCCTGGATTCACAGACTTCTATAGACTTCCAAAAAACAAATTGTTGAGATTTGATTGCTAAATCATAATGATCCTTTCAAGCAGGAATTAAAACCATTTTCTTGAAAATCAATTATTTATGTGCATTGGTTTTGAATAATGTCTTTTACTCTGAATTCTCATATGTATTTTTAAAAGCATGAAATATGAATTCAAAATTTGCACAGTATAACAGTAAGTATTCAGAGGAAATAAAGACTTTTTAATGCCTTTCAGGTGTGGTATCCAATTTTTACATATTAAAAGTTGGTATATATGCCAAGCACTTAAAGATTGTCTTAGACCTGATTTTTTGTTTTACTGTTATTTAAATAAATAATTGTTTGGCTGTATAGTTGGTTTTATTTCTAACCAATGGGTTTGGTTATTTTGTTTGTTTTTAGCAAACTATTCTAGCTGCCAGCATTAATGTCAATATCAAATAAAGGCAGATGGAACCTTATTCTGTTTGAAATCAGTGCTGTAGAGGCTGTGAGGTTGGGCTATGATTTGCAGTGCATTGATTGCCTACAGACTTCTTTCACTTCTCACATAGAAGATGAGAATCTGAAATGTTTTTCAGATTTCCTTAGTGAATGAGAACCTGAAATGTTCTCTGGGTGTTTTGAGTCCCCAACAGCTTTCTTGCAATAGATAACAGACTGCTAATGTTCTTTTTATGCAGAAATCATTCATTGAACTATGATTTGTTCTTGAATCAAATAATTAAAGCAGACTGACATTTTCTGTCAGTTCCAAGTAGTTTCCAAAGCTCTTCAGACAGGATGCATTCAAAAGATAACAGGACTCTCTAAAAGTGGCAATTTATCTATGAGATTATTAATAAATCAAGTTTAAGAAAGATAAGGTTAATTGAATTTTTAAACAAGTAGCTGTATTATCCTTCAAGCACCTTGGAGTTCATACAATATTCACACTTTTTTTTTTAAACAAGTGCTTCGATATGTTTGAATTCTCTTCTTTAATGATGGCTTTTTAAAAATAGCAATTAACACAAGTCACATTTTGAAGGCCACTTTTCTTTCCACTGATGCACAGTTTAGCCGTGGAGCTGCAATGACATGTCCTTGCTGTACAAGTTGCCACGTCTGCTCTTTCTGGCAATGATGACTCTTAGGACCATTTGACAGGTAATCATTAGAACTTGGGTCCTGGTAGACTGTAGGGTCTTTTTGCCTATCACGGCATGGGGATTTATGCTGGTGACTCCTATTAATGTTAATAGGATTTGCATGTGTAAATCCTCCTATCAATGAGCCAGTTGACCCTAAAAGAAATATTCATTAGAGATGGACACTATTTCTGATCCAGAAGCACCAGTGAATTGTTCTATTCAGAATTTTCATGTATGGAAAATCAAGAGTGTGCCTACTCAGTGGGTGTTGTTACAGCTTGAAAAGATGAAACCCTAGCTCTTTGTTCATTATTTCTATTATATGTTACAAATCATTGCTCTTTTGATTATTAGCAACATAGCATTTTTATCTTTAAAAGTAATTTTTCTTGAGGTTTCACTGACACCCCAATTTAATATGTGAGTGTTATCCTAAAAGTTTGGTACTGTGGAGTATTTTAAAGCTATGTAATAGCAACTCCTGTTGATCAGAGATAAGACCATTTCAACATCCGAAGTTTATAATGATACTTGAAAATAGCAAATGAGCCTCATGGACCAGCTGTCAAGATGTCTAAGGCACCAACCCTTTATTCTAGAAACTAATAAATAAAAGAGAAGGAAGCAGTTAGCCTACCTTTCCTGTAAAGACTATACTTCAGGGTATCCAAATGGTTGTTGAAGGAATGTTCTTTTTCTGCGATTTATTATTTGAATGGCAGAGTTAAAGGGAGAGGAGGAGAGACATTTTCCAGCTGCTGGTACGCTCCCGAAATGGCTGCAATGGGCAGAGCAGGGCAGGACCAGGCCGAAGCCAGGACCAAGGAGCTTCTTCAGGTCCCCTACATGCACAGAGGTCCAAATACTTGGGCCACATTCTTCTGCTTTCCCAGGCGCATTACCAGGGAGCTAGATCCAAACTGGAACAGCTGAGACTTGAAGCGGCACCCATATGGGATGCTGGCACAGCAGGTGACAGCCTGACCCACTCTGGCACAATGCCAGGCCTTAAAGGAAAGTTCATATTGAGAATTATAATTAATGCGTGAGACATGATATAATTAGAAAAATCACCATTTTGTAAACCAAGTAGCAGTATAATAATGGACCTAAGCAATGATTATCAGTGGCTTTAGCTGAAAAGTTGATGCAGACATCACCTGAATTTACTGATCAGTTTCAAAATCACTGCAACTAGAAAATGAGATTATAGGTCTCATGGTGTGTTGAAATAGGAAGTACATAGCATTACACTAGAAGAATTCCTAGCAAGATAAAATGTAAACTGAACCGAAATTGAATCAAGCTTCTATATTTAACTGCCAGTTTATAGGCAACAGGAGTGTAGGAGAATATGTTAAATGCAAGCACAAAAATACAATGTATAAAATTCTACAAGGATGACTTGATTGGTACAGGTTGTATACTGGTATATGCAGTATGACACTGTACCCTAGAGGCATGTGCCATTATTACATGTTCATCAAATTTTTTTAAATGTTAAGGAAATGAAAAAAGTGTATCTGAAATAAATACTACAGGAGAAAGCACTCAATTTTATTATCTATTGGAACAGGAAAAAATATAGGGAGCACTATTACAGATTATGAGGGATTTTAGGGACATCAGATGATTGCAATATATTGACCTTGTTTGGAACTTAGTTGAGAAACTCATTTTTTTAAAATAAAGTTATTTATTAGGGGCCAGCACTGTGGTATAACGAGTTAAGGGGTTAAGCCGCCACCTGCAATGCCCACATCCCATGGAGGGGATTTGAGTTACAGCTGCTCCAATTCCAATCCAGCTCCCTGCTAATATACCTGGGAAAGCAGCAGAGGATGGTCCAAGTGCTTGTGGCCCTGCAGCCATGAAAGTCCCGGATGAAGTTCCTTGCCTTGGCCTGGTACAGTCCCATTCATTTAGGCCATTTGGGGAGTAAAACAGCACATGGAAGATTTCTCTCTCCTCTCCCTGTCACTCTGCCACTCAAAAAGTAAATCTTTTCTCAAAAAAAAAAAAAAGTTTATGGGCTGGTGCTGTGACACAATGGGTTAAAGCAAGGGCCTACAGCACCGGCATCCCATATGGGTGCTGCTTCGAGTCCCTGCTGCTCCAATTTCAATCTAGCTCTCTGCTATGGCCTGGGAAATCAGTACAAGATGGCCCACATCCTTGGGGCCCTGCATCCGGGTGCGTGAGAGACCCAGAAGAAGCTCCTGGTTCCAGATTGGCTCAGCTCTGGCCATTGCAGTCATTTTGGGAGTGAACCAGCTGATGGAAGACCTCTCTCTCTGGCTCTACCTCTCTTTGTTACTCTTTCAAATAAAAAAAAAATCTCTTTTTTAAAAAAAGTATTTATTTGAAGGGCAGAGTGTCAGAGACAGATCTTGCATCTGCTGCTTCACGCTCCAAATGGCCACAACAGCCAGAGCTGGGCCCATCTAAAGCCAGGAGCCAGGAACTCCGAGTCTACCATATGAATGACAAGGACTCACATACTTCAACCGTCATCTGTTGCTTCCCGGGCTCACTAGCAGTGAGCTGGATTGGAAGCAGAGGGGCCAGTACTTGAACTGGCTTTAAAATATGGGATGTGGGTATCCTCAGCTGTACCACAATGTCTGCCCCTTTTATTTAAAAAGCAATAAAAAACATTTTGAGATATTCAGAGGGAATTAAACATTGCCTGCATATTAGCTGATACTAAGGCATTAATTTTAATTGTGTTGTGATCATTTAATTTTTAAAAAGACATTGTTAGAGATTTTAGAAACAGATAAATAAAATGTCACAGTGGTTAAATCTAGGTTATGACATATAGGATTTATTTCTAGTCTGTATTTTTGTGTTTAAACTTTTTCATAGTATGGGGGTTGGCATTGTGGCATAGCAGGTAAGCCACCATCTGTGATGCTCGTAATCCCATATGGGGGTCAATTCGTGTCCCAGCTGCTTCACTTCTGATCCAGCTCCCTAATGGCTTGGGAAAAGTGGAGAAAGGTGGCTCAAGTGCTTGGGCCCCTGCCACCCACATGGGAGACCTGGATAGAGTTCCAGGTTCCTGGCTTCAGCCTGGCCCAGTGCTTGCTGTTGTGGTCATCTGGATACTATACCAGTGGATGGAAGATTTCTTTCTCAACTCTTACTTTTGAGTAAATAAATATTTAAAAAAACTTTTCATAATAAATGTTTTGAATGACAAAATCCTAAGATTGATTAATAATCTGTACATAGTATCTTCATTACAACATTTTCTGAAATTTACAGCTCTTTCTGAAAAGGATGACTTATAGGAATTCAATCTAGTCTTGTATGCCTTATAATGTTTTGAAACGGTGGATTGTGAAAATCACCATTTTAAATTTATTACCTTTGTTCTGTGGCAGAGAGAGAGAGAGAACTGCTGAGCAAAGTGAGGGACAAGGGCAAGTTCAGAAAGAATAAGCATATTTATATAATATCTCTATTAAAAATGAAATAACTATTGAGTACTACAGAGTGAGGGAAATTTATAATCTTACAACTTGCCTATTTTATTACTATACTGTTAACTAGATAGATATCAATGATAAAATGTTCATGCTTTTGAACCTCTAAAATTTTTCATATGGGCAATTTTTAGAAGTTGCAACATGGAAGCTGCTAGTAATTTCCACACATGAAATCTGCCTGGTGTCTGAACATAATTGGGCTTCTGATACTACTCTATGGAGATCTGTTGAATATAATTACTTCTTTTTTTATCAGAAACTAGACTGAAAATATACATTGTATAATACATTGTGCCCCAATTTTCCACAAAGTCAGCCATTGTCCTATATTAAAAATATATGAGTCTATGGGCAATCAATAATTATAAAATTATTATAATCAAACTAATTAGCATGCCCAACACACTATTACTAATTATAGTCACAATGGATCATTTCACAATGTATATCTATGTCTACATATCTAGATATATAAACATCCCTTTGTACACAGTAAAAATAAATACATTTTTGTCAATTATACCTCAGTAAAGCTTAACTATTGTCAAATATTTTCAACAGTTATCACTGATGGGGCAGTAGATGGCCTAGTCTTTCTGAAGTGCTACTGCTGAGTCCACTTATTTTTATCCGAATGAAGCTACCAATGGAACAAATGATAAATCAATTAAAATTTGGAGGTTTTTTTTTTTACTCAAAATGGTTGATCCAGTAGAATCAAAAT